AATTGCAATAGCATAGGATAAAATATACAGTATATTTAATGCATAAATAATAAACTTTGTTTATAACAAAATATGTGCAAATTAGACAGTTGGCATTACGATATTCGAATTCCTTGGCTCGCAAGACATCGGATTAAAAAAAAAGATCGAAATTGGTCCATTAGAAGCCGAGATAATGCAATTTTTTTCGTACCTTCGCATTTTGAACCTCCCAATTCAGTCTCAAGAGCGAAAGCCCCCTCCCCCACTTTTCGTGTTTTCAGTCTCTTTTCGCGCGCGCGAGCGGCAGCTTTTCCAATGATTTATCTATGTTGCCGATAACTTATGGATATGAACATTTTTTCCAGCTTAGAACTCGGAAAAACGAAGCCAATGGATCAAAGATTATTGCTAAATTGTTTATAAATTAACGGTAGATGCCGATAAACTTTGACCGCTTATATCTCGAGAACCAATAAACGGAATTTAACTTTTTTTTTAAAGAACCGTCTTTCCGAGTACTTTAAAATTATAATTTTTGAAAAAAACTAAATTGCAAATTGAAAATTGTTTAAAAATAAAAAAAAGAGAGAACTTTAAAAATTTACTGTGGTCGTCCTAATCAACCGATTTCAATTTTTCAAAAACCGTTTGAACGGTTGAGCGGTCTTTCCTATGTGAAACATTTTTCAAGTATCTAGATGCTTTATTTGAGGCTGTGCAACATTTTGAAAATTCGAAAATTTATTTTCAAAATATTATTCTGCGAAAACTATCAAACCGATTTTAATGAAATTTGGTGTGTTGTTTTATTATACTTTAAAGTTTTTTTTTACATTAGAATGCCCTCGGAGCAATTAAAATATTTTAAAAAATTATTTAAAAAACTTGATTTTGCTTTTTTTTTTCATCAATTATTGCTATTTTGCAACATCGGTAATAAATTTAAACATATTTAACTTAACAGTATATTGTGCAAAATTCAATTCTAAAACTTTTTTTCCTTTTCAATATTCTTCCAAAATGCATATGTTCCAAGATTTAAGTAAAAAACTCGGATAAAATAGGTATTTTTTAAAATTTTTTAAACATTTTTGCAATTTTGAAAATGTTCCGGACCTCGCCCGGATCTAGGGATCTACACTTTTATTATGTGAATTTTACTGAAGGTATTCCAGCAAAAATAAGCTGCCCCCTCTTACATCCAAGGAGTCGGGTATTTCGACAGATCCGCCCTAGTCCATTGAGGATATAGAAACTTTACAAAAGGTCATGGAAGATGTGCTAAAAAGAGCTCATATTTGTCATCGCGAAAGAGGACATCGTTTGTTAGACATCATTTTTCGTAGATAGTTCAAATACTTCAAGAAACACACTTTGTAGTATGACCTTCAAAATATAAATTTAGTTAACTTTTTTTAATTTAAAATTGTGAAGGCACTTTTGTACTTTTGTATATTATTATGCTTCTCAAGAATCTGCAAGATAATATGGAGCAGCTTATAATGATTAAAAAAGTCGTATGCAGAAAAGAAAACTAAGAAAACATTAAAGTATGTTACAGGCTTATCTCGAATACAAGCTTGTGAAAGTGAAACCTCCAAATGATTCGATGTTAAAACGTGGTGAATATTAAAAAACATATTAATACAAAAATATTCTCACTGGTGCACTACTTGAAAAGTAAATCGATTGAATATCTAGATATCTAAGATTTTGATAAAAGTAAAAATCATTTATACAAAAAGACCCTGATGGACAATTTTTATTAATGAAGGTCTATATGAAAATGGATTAGTTTATTTAATTATGACGTTTGGTTATATTAATAATTGGCATCCACAGGATTTTTAGAAGAAAAGAACTACAAAAAATGATAGTACAAAACATAAGAAGACATGATGTTGATGATCATTAAAAGTTCCTGACAGTTGGACGCATACTGGTAATTTGGTACAATTTATTACAATGTATTCAAAACTCACCCTAAGGCAACAGTATACTAACGTGACATGAACGTGAAAAGCATTCTGAGACAGCAGCTCGCGCATGTCTCGATTGACCCGTTTGGTACGCCATTGAATGGCGGTTCTCTCTGACAGCTCTAAGAAGATGTATTCCCAAGAGAAATCGTTCGACAAAAGACAAGGAAATCTACTTCTGTGGAGCAAACATACAATGAAGACTCTGTTGAGAATAAAATTCAAGTTTCAAATAGAATATTTTTCTGATACAGTTGCTTTGTCAGCATCCATACTTGATAATCCACAGAAGAATCTTGCACTATAGCTAGAGCTTCAGAATAAGAGATTACTATGTCAAGATTTCAACTAGAATCTTCAAGCCTCAAGATGCTTCTTTTTTTCTCGATAGGACCATTATTCACGAAGTTGCAGCCTTTCAAAAACCACTAAAAAAATTTGTAAATTTTTCTGCTCCTTTAATTTTTTTGTTTGGTTAAGTGCTATCAAAAATCAAAATCACACCTTTGTTTGTCGCAAGATTTTGTCCCATTTCCATTGTTGTATCATCATACCGATATCCTACCCTATGTTTTGTCACCCCTCTTCAACAGTTCCCCAGCTCATGCTAATCCTGAACCTTGAGACGCTCCTATCCCTTTTTCCGATCAGCTCCCGTCGACCACTTACCATAATCGACTCTACAACAAAAACCAGACGCTCCGCACTTTATTACCTGGNCCAAAAAACTTGATTATTTTGCTTTTTTTTTCATCAATTATTGCTATTTTGCAACATCGGTAATAAATTTAGACATATTTAACTTACAGTATATTGTGCAAAATTCAATTCTAAAACTTTTTTTCCTCTTCAATATTCTTCCAAAATGCGTAGGTTCCAAGATATAAAAAACTTGGATAAAATAGGTATTTTTTAAATTTTTTAAATATTTTTGCAATTTTGAAAATGTTCTGGACCTCGCCCGGATCTAGGGATCTACACTTTTATTACGTGAGTTGGACTGAAGGTATTCCAGCAAAAATTAGCTTGCCCCCTCTTACATCCAAGGAGTGGGATATTTAGACAGATTCGCCCTGGTCTATTGGGGATATAGAAACTTTACAAAAGGTCATGGAAGATGTGCTAAAAAGAGCTCATATTTGTCATCGCGAAAGAGGACATCGTTTGTTAGACATTTTTCGTAGATAGTTGAAAAAAACACACTTTGTATTTTTTTTTTAATTTAAAGTCGTGAAGGTACTTTTGTCCTTTTGTATATTATTAAGTTCCCCAAGAATCTGCAAGATAATATGGAGCAGCTTATAACGATTAAAAAAGTCATGCACAGAAAAGAAAACTAAGAAAACAGAAAAGTATGTTACAGGCTTATCTCGAATACAAGCTTGTGAAAGTGAAAACGTGGTGAATATTAAAAAAAAATATTAATACAAAAATGTTCTCATTGGTGCACTAGCTGAAAAGTAAATAGATTGAATATCTTCTAGATATCCAAGATTTTGATGAAAGTAAAAATCGAAGCATTTGTACAAGAAGCCCCTGATGGACAATTTTTATTAATGAAGATGGATTAGATTCTTTATTTATGACGTTTGATTATATTCATAATTGGCATCCACAGGATTTTTAGAAGAAAAGAACTACTAAAAATGATAGTACAAAACATAAGAAGACATGATGTTGATGATCATCAAAAGTTCCTGACAGTTGGACGCATACTGGTAATTTGGTACAATTTATTACAATGTATTCAAAACTCACCCTAAGGCAACAGTATACTAACGTGACATGAACGTGAAAAGCATTCTGAGACAGCAGCTCGCGCATGTCTCGATTGACCCGTTTGGTACGCCATTGAATGGCGGTTCTCTCTGACAGCTCTAAGAAGATGTATGTATTCCCAAGAGAAATCGTTCGACAAAAGACAAGGAAATCTACTTCTGTGGAGCAAACATACAGTGAAGACTCTGTTGAGAATAAAATTCAAGTTTCAAATAGAATATTTTTCTGATAGTTGCTTTGTCAGTATCCATACTTGATAAATTCATAGAAGAATCTTGCACTATAGCTAGAGCTTCAGAATAAGAGATTACTATGTCTATAGATTTCAACTAGAACCTTCAAGCTTCAAAATGCTTCTTTTTTTTTTCTCGATAGGACCATTATTCACGAAGTTGCAGCCTTTCAAAAACCACTAAAAAAATTTGTAAATTTTTCTGCTCCTTTAATTTTTTTGTTTGGTTAAGTGCTATCAAAAATCAAAATCACACCTTTGTTTGTCGCAAGATTTTGTCCCATTTCCATTGTTGTATCATCATACCGATATCCTACCCTATGTTTTGTCACCCCTCTTCAACAGTTCCCCAGCTCATGCTAATCCTGAACCTTGAGACGCTCCTATCCCTTTTTCCGATCAGCTCCCGTCGACCACTTACCATAATCGACTCTACAACAAAAACCAGACGCTCCGCACTTTATTACCTGGTGAAAAAACGGCGAGTGCGTGACGCTGACCCCGAGGCCCGCCATGCAGATCCCCAGGAACATGTCGTCGGGGGTGTCGAGCGAGGGGCACTCGCAAGCGCCGTTCTCCGCCAGCTTGTCGAGGAGAGGCCTGCTGAAGACCATCCCGCCGCCCCCAGTGATGTAATTGTATCCCCGGGGTGAGTGCACGTTGTATCCGTACCGCTCCCCCACAGCCACGTCCTCCGCGTCGTCGTAGCAGGTCAGCAGCTGCTGGAATCTGGAGACGCTAAGGGCAAGGAAGAATATTTTTACAAACTTTTATTTTCAGAAAGTTTTAGCCGCATTAAACGTTAATGTTAATGAAGGGACTGCACGCGAGAGAAGGAGCGCCGGGCCCGCGCATGCGCGTGAGCACCGCTCTCGTCGCGCGCGAGATATTTTACTTGAACGTTTCAAATTCGGTTCAACACTTTTACTCACCTCAATATAGTGTCATCATCGGCCACAACAATCCATCGTGTGTCGGTGTCATTTCTTATATCCTTCGCAATATACCTCAAAATAGCCATAGTCTTCCCGCAATGGCCCTGTTCTGTATTTGGCACACCCAGGTCTATGGTAGGCACTGATTCATCTACAAAACACACCACACTTAATTCCTTACAATTCATGAACATAATCCTCACCTTTCACGTTACTAAAAAAATGAATATGCTTCGCCTGTTTGGCCCAAGTATCCTTCACAACTGGAATCCTGTCCTTGTGGTACTTGTCGCAGGTTTTAACTGCGAAATATAGTGAGCTGTTCGGTATGGGGTCGTCCTGAAAATGATTTTATGTCGGTTGCTGATATCTACGATAGCAAAATTAAGAGTAATCTTAGTTCATAATATGTGTACACACAACTAGACATTTAACAATTCGGGAAAAAAGGATAAACTGCGAAAAAACGTTTTCTGTTTTTTACGAAGCAAAAAATTGGAAAAATTACAATGATTGGAAAAAAACACTAATTAAAATAAGTTTCCATACACATTTTGCAGGAATAAAACTGGAATAAATGTGTACGAAAATAATATTTTTTAACATAATATTCGAAATCAAGATTTCCCTAATCTTAAATTAGTTTTTAAAATAACTAAACGAAACAAAATCTTAAATTTTTCCTCAGTTATACAGGGGTGTAAATAAGTGCGAAATATTTTAGGGTTTAGTTATTTTGTGAAAAAAAGTTCATATAAACGTAGGTAGAAATATGCTTCGTTTCCGAGATAGAGAGTGTACGTCACTGACTTTTTCCCGTTTTGATATTTGTTTAGAAATCCGCCATCAATTCTGAATGGAATTGGTCTGTTCAATTTTTTCCGTAAGATGCACCGTTTTTGAGGAAAAAAATAAAACATATTTTATTGCAAGTTGTGTATTTTTAATTTCTATTGATACATTATCTAGTACGTTGCTGTCAATATTTCTAAAGAAAATACAACCATCAAATTTCGACTCAATATCTTTAAAATTCTTTGAGATAATTAATAAAAAAAATAAAAAAATTAAAATTTAAACATTCTGTATCTCGGAAACGAAGCATATTTCGAAAGTAAAATATTTTTAACCAAATTCCAACATACAAGATAACCAAAAAACTGAAATCACTGAAATAAATGAATTTATTTGTGTATGTATTTATATAAACTCTGACAAATGAAAACTTAACTAACAATAAAAAATAAAATTAAATAAAATCATAATTATATTTGTCACGGCATATATTGCAAAAAGCGTTCGTTGAATACTTAATGAAATTAATTTAATTTTACGATATCTTATACTACTTAGATATCGTAAAAAAAAGCAAAGGGGTTATGCCAATTTTGCCGAAAATCAAGAATT